CAATAATGTCAGAGGCCTAAATATCCCAGAAAGGTCCATCTCTTGCACTCTCTGTGGTCGGCCAGGGCCTTGGTCGCCTTCATTCATAATGCTCCCGCTCTCCAGGACTCGTTTCCCCATGGAAATCTTTGCGAATCATCCAGTCGCAAAGAAGGCAGGGTGGCTCTCCTAATTGCCAACACAACCCCCTTCCACTATCTGGCTGATTCGAGGGGCCATTACATGTTTCTGAAAGGCACTATTGCTGGATATCTCTTCACCCTGGCAAGTATCAACGCGCCTAATGTCAAATACCACAAGTTCTTGGCACGCACCCTGACTGCTCTGGAACGATTCAGAGATGGAATGCTTATTTTGGTGGTAGACCTCAACATAGCTCTGGACCCGCGCATGGATACATCCAGGGGCTCCTGCTCACTACCAACCACTTACCAACACAAGGCTTTCACAGCAATTAGGAACTCAGGCATAGCGGATACTTGGAGGGTGGACCACCCAGAAGACCGAGATTTCTCGTTTTACTCAGTGTTGCACCCCTGCTTTAGTAGACTGGATTTTTATTTCTCAAGAATACCTTACGCTTCTGAAATCTTGCAGGCAACATGGTCTGACCACTTGCCGATCTTGACCAGCATACACTCCCCATCATATAAACCAAAGGAAAGGAAGCTAAATGAACATATCCTCGAGGAGATGGAAGCGCCGGACATGGACCCGTTTCTCTTGTGGCAAGCACACAAATGTGTGATCTGGGGTCACTTCATTCGCTACTGCATCCAAAGGAAAAAAGCTCAGAGGCAACAAGTTACGGTGCTCGCGCAACGGGTAGCCACACTTAAACGCTCACATAAGAACACACTATCAACAGATACCTACAAGGCTCTCTTAGAGTCACGGCAAGCCCTTCTGCAATTGCTATCCCAGGACCTCCTTCATACCATACACAGGTCCCGCAGACATTTTTACGAATACTCGGACAAATGTGGGAGATTGCTGGCCAGGATGCTACTGCGGAAGTGGAGACTCTCCCACATCAACAAATTTGTGAACAGGGGAATTTTATCACGTAACTTCCTGACAGAATTGTGGATGCATTCCATCGTTATTGCACTGACCTCTATAATATATCGACGTGCTCGGACGAAGACGCGCGACTAGAGTGACTGCAAATCTCGAGCAACATGTGAGTCGCACCTTAACCAGAGAAATGGATACTGGATACCCCTATTACCATGGGTGAGCTCCAATCAGCCTTAAAGGCCTCTAAGGTGCACAAGACCCTGGGCCCAGATGGCCTCCCAGTTAAGTATTATAAAATGTTCCAGGAACTCCTGCTGCCACATCTACTGAGAAGCCTCAACTCCCTCCTGGACACCCTGGTAGCGAACATTACTCTAATCCCGAAGGAAAGGAAGGACCCAGCCAATGGCTCAAGCTATCAGCCGATCTCCCTCCTTAACGCGGATTTGAAGTTATACAAAGAACCTGGCCTTATGAGTGGGCAGAGTGCTGCCACACCTGGTTCATCCGAATTAAGTGGCCTTTATCCCAGGCAGAGAGGCTAGGGATAACACCATTAGGGCCCTCAATGTGATCCAGGTGGCGTGGAGTACCAAGAGCCTTCCTCCTCTCTACGGAGGCCGAAAAGGCATTTGACCAGGTGGACTGGCAATTCATGCTGGCGACACTTCATGCGATGGGTTTCGGACCTGGTACGTCTCCCTGTACACAACACCCACTTCCAGATTATGGGTCAATGGGGCCTTGTCGCAACCTTTTAATATCCGGAAGTGCACAAGACAGGGCTGCCCTCTGTCCCCCCTCCTGTTTGCCCTCTCCCTGGAACCTTTCCTGTGGGCGGTCAGACGGGATGGGGTTATATTGGGATTCTCCTGTGGACAGCAAGAACAGCCCCCTGTCCTATAGAGCTGTCCCCTGCCCCTTGGTGGTCTCTCCTCTCCCCCACCCTCCCCTAGCGGTCTCTTCTCACACTCACCCACCCTCCCTGTGCTCTTCTCATCCCCCCCTCCACCCTCCCTGTGTTCTTCTCACTCCTCCCTCTATGTGTTCTCCTCACACCCCCTGTGTTCGTCTTACCCCCCTCCTCCCTGTGTTCTTCTTACTTCCCCCCTTGGTCGTCTTACTCCCCCACCTGTTCTTCTTACTCCCCCACCTTTCTTCTTACTCCCCCACCTGTTCTTCTTACCCCCCTTCTTCTTCTTACTCCCCCCTTCTTCTTCTTAACCCTCCTACTTCTTCTTACCCCTCCTTCTTCTTACCCCCCTCTTCTTCTTCTTACCCCCTTCTTCTTCTTACCCCTTCTTCTTCTTACTCCCCCCTCTTCTTCTTCTTACTCCCTCCTCTTCTTCTTACTCCCCCTTCTTCTTCTTACTCCCCCCTCTTCTCCCTTCTTCTTCTTACTCCCTTCTTCTTCTTATCTCCCCTCCTTCCTACTCCCCTCTTCTTCTAAAGGGAGTTTAAGCATGCATGGGATGGGGCAGGCTATCCTATCTATAAGATAAGGCTAGGGACTAATGAAAGTTTTTAGAAATGGGCAGACTAGATGGGCCGGATGGTTCTTATCTGCCGTCACATTCTATGTTTCTATGTTTCTTACCCCCTCTCCTCTTCTGACTCCCCTCCTCCTCTTCTTACTCCCCCCTCTCCCTCTTCTTACTCCCCCCTCCTTCTTCTTACCCCTGCCCTCACCTCCCCTTCCCTGTAGCGTGGCCGAGATCCTCTCCGGTCCGAGGTGCCCGGCCAGAGTGATAGGAAGGTGCACACTCAGTGTGCACCTTCCTATCACTCCGGCCGGGCACCGCGGACCGGAGAGGAGCTCGGCCACGCTACAGGGGAGGGGAGGAGAGGAGAGAAGCAACTGCAGCAGCCTGAGGCTCTTAACAGAGCGCTCAGGCGGCTGCTGCATTTAAAGGGCCGACCCTGCAGCGGCCGGTCTTAAAAGGATTTAGGGCGGCCTGGGGGGCAATTGCCTCCCTGCCCCCCGGCCCAGCCTGCCCCTGAGCTCTTGTCTCTCCCTAAACGAATGGAAGGGGTGGGTCTCCCATCGATTCTCCTTTACTACAAGGACACCCATCTGCTATGCATAGTGGATTGGCACAGAAGGAACCCCGACAAGCTCTGGAGAGACCTGGAAAATGCTCAAGTGGGTCAGAAGTTGCCCTCAGTGCTATGGATGACAAATCCCCTCAAAGACCCCAGAGTAAGCCAAAATACCTTTATCCGGGCCACCATAGAGATATGGACTGCCACGCGGATGGATAACGTGCTCACCACAATCCCGACATCGCTTACTCACAACCCTGACATAGCAGGCAGTCTGACACCCAGAGATGTTGCAGGCCTGGGAGGCTCAGACTGGACTTATATGAAACAGCTCTGCTCCACTACGAAGTTCAAATCCCGTCTGTAATTGGCTCCAAGGCACCGCCTCGCACATGGGGAGATTTAGATACCATCAGATTCAACACTATTACCAGTCCATCACAGGCAAACATTTGGTCCACAGGAAGTTGACAAAGTTCAAATGGCTGCCCCCTAAAAGTTATAACGCTCCTATACTCCTTGTTGCTCACCACAACACCACATGCACCCACAAAATATATTGCCTGCTGGGATCAAGCCACGGGCTGCCCGTTAACAGACACACAATGGGAAAAAATACATATCCTAGCGGACCAGGGCACGATTAGCACCAAAGTGCAGGAGCTCAACTCCAGCTCGACTTCATCATATGAATAGCGATCTTCCTGACGTGCGCTGGAGATGCGGGAACGAAGTAAGGACAGATCTGCATATCTGGTGGTCGTGCTCTAATATTAGGCCATACTGGCAACCCATACATTCCAAGATTACCAAAATCCTAGACTTGGACCTGCCCTTTTAACCCCTACCAATGCTGTTGCATCATACAACTCTCTCTTTCAGCGTATAAGCACTCCCTCACAAGACATTTGCTTAACACTGCCAAATCTCTTATTCCACTCAAGTGGCGTTTGTCAGACCCACCAACCACCTCACAGCCTCCTTACGTGGCACCTCTGAGAAATGCATCCTTACATGGGCCCCTTGGTGCACATACATGGCACAACACGCATCCCAAGAGGTTTAGGGGCCTACACTCTCCGCGGGAGAAGACCAATGGGGGCTTCAGACTCCCCCACAGGACAGGAGCAGCAGAATTAGCCTGTCACATTCTGGTGGTGATGACCAGGCCCTGGTTGGGGGCGCAGGGCCTTAGATGTGACGGTGACGATGTCTTGAACGCACTGGACGCGCGGGTTTCTGGAGGTGATGCAAACACTAATAGGTAGCGGGATGTGGTGGGTTTGTGGGTTGTTTTTTTTTTCTTTTCTTCTCTCCTCTCTTACACAATGCTACTGGGACGGCCTGGGATTTAAGGGGCTGGGAGGGGGGGGGGGGGGTTTACAACTCCCTTGATTTTTCCCAGTCCAACCTGGTTTTGCTAGTGTACACTGATCGGCGGCTGCACCACCTAACTTTCCCATGCAAGCCTACCTGACTGCGGGATGGTAGCAAAGAATCGCTCAATACATGGACTTCACTAGGACTGATTTACCAGACAGACACGGAGGCCCTCTGGGCTGTACATTCAAGACGGCTCCCTCTCTAGGTCCTAGAGCAGGGGTTCTCAACCCAGTCCTCGAGGACCCCCTACCAGTCCAGGATTTAGGGATTACCTGGGTGTGTCTAAGGTATTTAGGGGAAAAAAAAAGGGGTGGGGATAGTTCTGGCGGACCCGCACAGTACTGGAAATAAGGTGAGTTTTAACCCCTTCTAAGGGGGGGCAAGCCACCTAAATGGTGGGTTTAACACTATAGTGCTCATTTAATATTGTTGGAAAAGCATTCCAAATAATTTAATATTTTTGGATAAATTAATATTATGAAAAATATTCAATTTTGTAATAGTTTTATATTTTTTTCAATATATTGATACAAGTACAAAAACGTATTGTACTGCACACTTACATCTGCTTGCCTCAAATAAATTTTATTAAACAACAAATCCAATTTTTTTTGAAGATGTACAAATGTCTTTGCTTCTCAAAATAAACTGCAGATTGATATACAGGCCCAGATGAACAATTTCAATTAATTTTATTTAGTTAAAATTTGATACATGTCATGGAATCCATAGCCGAGTACTTTTCTCATTATACATGCTCTTGGGATGCCTCTTACAGTTTTATAGGTGAAGTGGTTGTTGTTTGCAGGGTGGCATTATGCATGGTGCTGTTTATCCAATTATTGTAGCGAACAATGCGAGTATAGATGCCTGGCCTCTTGGCATTGCCACACTTGCGAGATCCAAAAGACACTATACCCACAGCCACGCTATTACATATCAGGGGTCCTCCAGAGTCTCCCTGTTAGGATATATTAAATAAAGAAAAACTTATTAGAAACTTTATTCCAGTATCAGGAAAAAAATATTAGCATACAAACCCAAAAACCAAATCTTCCCAATTCCACCAGTTTCTCTCATGCACAGGGCCGCTGCTACCATAAGGCGGCCCCTTGGGGTGCACCTGCCCGGGGGGCAATGGATTTGGTTGACCGGTAGGAGGATAGCGCAGCACAGTGCTCCCCTCCTGCCAGTCTCTGTATGTAGCATGGCCGAGCACGGGGAAGGAGTTTGTTTCACTCTACCAAGCTGGTCTGACAGGAATCGCTAACTGAGAGTGCCAAACTGCTTCCTGGATTGAGGAACATGGAGGCATTGGGGGATTAAGACACATGGGGAGGGTTGTGGATTGAGAAACATGGGATGGGCTGGGAGATTGAGACACAGGGGGAGCTGGAGGGTTGAGAAACATGGCGAGGCTGGGTTTTTGAGACACATGGGGAGGCTGGGTTATTGAGACATATGGGGGGTGGGAGAATAAGACATGGAGGAATGAGACACATGGGGGTCTGGGAGAATGAAACACATGAAAGGATTGGAGGGCAGGAAGTGAGCACAGAGTGGCTGGGGAGAGGAATTAAGACACTTAAGGGGGCTGGGAGAATGAGACTCGTGGAGGAGATGAGATACATGGAGGGGCTGTGGGGACACAAAGGGACAGGAGCTGGGGAAAAAGAGACAAGGTGCTGGGTGGAAGAGACACACAAATTGGGCTTGGGGTTTGTGGGGAGACAACAAGAGGGGCTGGGGGGGGACACAAAGAGGGGGAGACAACACAGAGGGGCTGGGGAAGGAGCAAAAGAGACAGATAGATGCTAGGCAAATGAGACAGCCAGAGGTTGGGGGAGACACCAAGTGGGGCTGGGGTACACAGAGATATAGCGGAGTTGGGGTAAGAAAGATACACACAAAGGGACTGGAGGAAGAAAGACACACAAAGGTGCTGGGGGGAAATAAGCGACACACAAAGGATGGGATGAATGAGACACAAAGGGAAAAAATGGGGGATAAGATATACTAAAGGTGAGTGTAAGAAAAAAAGTAGAGGATAAGAAACACAAAACGGGTAAGAAATTTGAGAGTGGTGTACATACAATATAACAAAGCTTTGCAATGTCAAAAAGCAAACAGATAAAGAAATACACAATAGACAGGGATAGACTTGCTAATCTAAGTTAAAGAAAGTTCCTCTTGGTTGCTAAAAATTAGTTATACTTGAAAGTTAGTTTAACCCTTTGTGAATGCTGTGTTTCAAGATTTTTTCACATTTTTGTTATTGTTCTAGAGTAATATAACATTAAATTACAAACAACATAACCCTTATAGCCTGCTACAGTGGTTATTGTGCCCTGGCCATGGATGGGGAATTCCTATTTTTAGTTCTGGGCTGGAAAAATGTTTTTTTTCCCCTTTAGCCCTGCTGTGGGCAAGCAACAGGGCTGATGCAGGAAACTATCGGGTAAAAACAATGTAGTTGCACCCTTACAGTCCTGCACTCACTAACGAGCACTGGAAGATGGAGTGTTCACTGTGGTTTGCACCCAATAGAGCTGCAAACCACAGATACCCACACAAGAGTCAGCTGGAAGGGATGCATTGGATACAGCAGCACCTTTTTAATCTGCCCTCTAGTGGGTTTCTTGCTTTCTCTCCCTTCCTAGTACTGGCTCCCTGCCAGGTCCTAGTGTTCACTCCTTCTCCCATTAGACAAAAAAACAAACCCAAAGCCCTCATGCTAGAATTCTAAGCCCTGCTGGACCATTAGGGAATTTTAACTTTAACCACCAGTGGACTACCAGGTAAGTTTTACCAGGGAATTTTAAAGCATTATACTAATTAACCATGTTTGGATTTGCAGACTCTAAACAAGCCTGTATTTGGTTCCGACTTCAGCCTGACCAAAAGCTGCCGGACAGCTTAAACCTGGACCTGAATTGTTGAATTCCTGGGAATATTCCCATCACAAGTGTTGCGAGAATTGAGATTTGCCTTCCAAAGTGCTGATTGGTTGTCTTACAAGCCAACCAGAGCTCTCTTCTGAGATTTTAAACTATGGGAAAGCCTTTATAAAAAGACTTTCCCTGCCTTGAAAGCTTATTCTGTGCAGAGCCCTTGCCGGACTCACATTGATTCATTTTTGTTGAGTCATTTTATTTTTTTCAGTAGGGTTTATTTTCCCCATGTCTTTTTTTTTTTATAGTCATAGTTTTTATTTTTTTTGGTTTTTTTAAAGAAGAAGATGTCTGATAAGATAACATTTTATTAGGACACGTCTAAGGGATTGGGGAACCGTAGCCACTCCAGGCAGATTAGGGTGGGAGGTGGGACAGTGGCCAAAATAGTGAGGTGGGTGGGCAATGATATGGGCTCAGGCATTTTCACAGATTCAATATAATCCCACACTATTTATTTTCCATATACATTCATTATTAAAAAGGGACATAATGGTGGCTAGAAGCACATTGTGTGAGCTCCAAGTTCAATCTCCAAACTTAGAGAATTAACTGTTTACCAGCTCGCCACAGAACCCTTTCTCAAGTCTTACCTGTTCCAGTACCGGCCTGAACACCTCTTAGTACTGCAACTGTCCACAATTCCTGCATATAACAGAGGCTACGGTGAGGCCTAGTGGACTTGCCCGGCAGGTGAGGCGGGCGCTCTCCTGCTTGCGACAACGTAGGTCTCTTACAGGGATTTCTTAAAGCCCCATAAAGGGGGAAATAAAGCACACGTTATGTCAAGATGATGTCTCTACTTGGTTCTGAGTCGCTGCAGACCAGGAAGGAATGCCTTGTAGACCATTACCTAGAACATTGTAGACCTTGTAGATCATTTCTGGGCCTCATTAACAGCTCGACAAGCCATGGTGAAGCCTAAGCTCTTAACAAGTGATTGGAGGGGCAGGTGCCGTGTGGTGTGTGGGCCTCCCTCAAGCCTTTCAGCTGTTAAAGCGCATGTACATTCTGTTGTCTGCCGACCTAGACCAAGAGCAAAAAGAGCAAGACTCTACTGCATCACCCACCAGTACTAAGGACCGAACGCAGGTATTACAACATCACAGCCTTCTGCTCCACCCTGTCTGGGTAGGACTGGGACTTATTGAACCTCAAAGTCTGTGGCTCAAAGATGCTGGCCAGAACCCCATCCTTGGCTGGTGGGGTGCCCTGCATCATACCCGCACTACTGCTACTCCCTCCATTCTCAATATGTGTAGCCTGTGTATTTCAGATCTGGGTTTAGTTAAGTCCTGATTTGGCCCATGAGGACTATATTCAGGTTACTTATGCTATGGGCTTCCTTTATAGCTTTCTGACGTCATTGAGATATGTATTCTCTATGTATCAGTGGTTCTTCTTTTTGATATACTTTACTGTATTGTAAGCTTTACTGCAATTTGTAAGTCAGCTACTATACCTTCTATCATATAATTACCTGATTTTTGCCTGACTTACTCTTGTTATTTTTCCTGTTTTTTTTTGTTTGTTCTTTTTACTAAAAATATGCAGATAATTAGGCATGCACATATTGCAGTATTTGTCAATCCTTCCTGTCATTAAGAGATACTAGCATAACAATGTCCTGTTTTTTCTTAACATGTCTAGCTTCGAGGAAAGACAAGATGGGGGGGATATGGTAGAAACATTTAAATACACAAAGGGAATCAACACAGTAAAGGAGCAGACTATATTTAAAAGAACAAAAACTACTACAATTAGAGGACATAGCCTTAAATTAGAGGGGCAAAGGTTTAAAAATAATTTCAGGAAGTATCACTTTACAGAGAGGGTAATGGACGCATAGAATAGCCTTCCAGCTAAGGTGGTAGAGGTTAACACAGTGAGGGAGTTTAAGCATGCGTGGGATAGGCATAAGACTATCCTAGACTTAAGATAAAGTCAGGGACTAATGAAAGTGTTTAGAAAATTGGGCAGACTAAATGGGCCAAATGGTTCTTATCTGCTGTCACATTCTATGTTTGTATGTTTTTTATAATGATATCTACATACTCCAACAACCTGATTTTGTACCATTCCTCACCTCACAAGAGTCTTTGCCCTTTTCTCCAGCACACATCATATTGTCAGTAAGTTCATTATCATAGTAGTCTCGACGATTACATTGGTCTCTGCTGATCACCGTAACCAACACCTCATTTAAAGTATCTGGCCTCTTGCCAGTAAGCCTTATCTGTCCCCAGCCAGACACTAAACAACGTGTGCCCTCTGGAATATCAACATCTTCTTTCTGGAATGGCATGGGCTTAATGGCATCACTCACATTGACCTTATTTGGGAGCTGGAAATCAAATCAAGAGACATCAGGTAAATTCACATCTCGAAAATTACTCCCAGAAATCTGTCTGTCACTCAACTTTAATGAATCAACCAATATCTCTAGTAAATGAAACCACTATTATAATTAAAAACACCATTAACAATATTGTAATCAGTAGTTTTTGAATGCTAGGCTCCGCCACAAACATAATATATTTGGATATATGTATTTTAGCTTGTCACTATATGACACATTTATGAAAATGTATCCAAGTGCTCTGCTCTAATAAGTGGTAAAAAAATAAGTAAAGGCAAAACGGGAATTGGGGGCATGCCTGAAACATGCAGCTCGCAGGAAGGGTGCTGCCGTAGAGACCTAAATATATACATAATACAGAAAAATGAATAGTGCACACATAAAAATAATTTTACATTTTGTAAGGCTACATAAATCACCTATCTCAGCAAATAAATATGGGTATTCAGTTCCACCTTATGGCCATATTGTGCTAAGACCAAACACTACTTCACAGTACCCCAATTCGTTCCTACACTAATTTTAATGTGGGAGAATAAATTACGAAAACTGGGACAATCACCATCGAAACTACCGCTGACTCCCCTCTAACATTTTTGCACTTCTTCTTAGAACAGTAGGTTAACTATGGAGGTTAAATTTGGAGCAACCATATTGTAAGTTGTTTATATATATTTGAAGGTTGCATATGTAAAACAAAGAATGATAAAAGGAACTTAAAATTAAAATAATTCTATGTTCTATATTTAATGGGTTTCTTAATGTTGGTACATTAAGAAACCCATTAAATATAGAACATAGAAATATTAACCCACTACATATATAACATAGAAGTTAAATGACCACTTCAGTAATTTGAAGTGTTCATGCTACTTGTAGTCTGTATGTGCAGCGTTTCAGTTTAATAGCTGGTCTTGGAGAGAGGTCTTGTGTATGTCAGTGTGTGTGCTTCGGCGCCTGCATTGTCTATATGTGAATAAAGCCTGCATGCAAACACCAACATTACACATAAACACATCACTGCATTCTAATGCCAACACTACAAAAAAACAAACCACTGCATGCACACACCAACACTACCAACAAACATACCAATGGATTTAATTACCAATAATAAATGAAAACACACCCCTACATTCAAACATTAACACTACACACAAACACACCACTGCATTCAAATGCAAACACAGTACACAGAAAAATCTCAGAGTTAAAAACTCCAGCACTAGAGGCAAAATATCTGTAAATGCATACTGCATACAAAAGCACACCTAGATTCAAACACAGGCAATGCTCACAAATATACCCCCGGAAGAATGGACACATTGTAAATCCACTCCTTACAAAGTTTTGTGGAAATTACAGATCTATCATTTTGCCACCCCTGCTCTATAGGGAGCACTATAGTTTTTCTGCACCAGAGCCCTCTCTACATTAGTTCTGACACCGTTATTTACTTAGGTGAGAATTCCAAGTAAAATCAAAGAGCATTTCACATTTTGAGTCCAGAGTAGCCAAACTGAAAGCATAGCTGACCTTGACAATTTTCCCAGTTCAGATATTTTGACATTCACATAGAATTCTCACTTTTGTAAATAACCTTGTAAGTATAAATGTTCTGAGCATGTTTATTACCTTACCTGTGTATAAATAATATATAATAGTCTCTCCTTACCTTCAATAACAGCAGATCATGAGCAATTAAGCTACTGTTGTAAAGCGGGTGAACAAAATACTTCTTGATTTCAAATTCCACTCTGGTTTTGCTGTTTGCTGTTTGCTTCAGAGAGGACTCCCCAAGCATCACATGGAGTGTCTTGTTACTAATGAAAGAAAAGTTAAAGTGACAGAAGAGTTAAATAAATCAAAATAAGAAAACTATGGGTGCTCACCTAAGTTTATTGGTAAATCAATATTTGTCAATTTTGACTATCACTAAATATACATTTTAGAATGGTCTTGGTAAATGTTTGTTGAATCAATAGATGTATTTACCCAGCGGGCATGCAGTGAGCTGCACTGAGTATCCACTCATCAGAGATCAACAGCCCACCACAAAAGTGGACTCCATCAAGTTGCAGTGACACCATGTATGGCCTGCCAGCAGACTCCTTTCCTCCCAGTATCCGACCTCGAGGATAACATTCTGGAACAAAAAGACAGAAACAGTAGTTGTACATACTTACATATATCCCAAGTGTCCCTAATTAGGATGAGCAGTCCCTTTTTTGGACACAAATCTCTCTGTTTCTCTAATTTTCTTCTAATATCCCTCTTTTCTAGGATCTCGATAGTATTGGTTTGTCTCAGTGTATAACAGAGCTCCACAGCAATAATACTCACAGTAACGTATCTTTAAACTACAATATATGTGTTTCGAAATCAGTCTGTGCAAAAAAAGATACATTGTTGTTCTAAATTCCATTTTAATTGTATAAATTGTTATTAGTAAATCACTTAAACAGCCCTTCCCCTTGACCAAACCCCCACTCACACTCCTAAAATAAAGTTTCCCTCTTTGTCCATTTGAAATGTTGGGACTTATGCATCCAAATACACAAAACAATATTAATGGATACATTTTACAGATAAATGTAAATTAGCAGGAAATTAAGTATTTCATTAGATGGGTAATCAATGCAATGTAGCCATAGTTACATATTAACCAGCAATCTCTCTCTGACAATCTGTAAGTATTATACCAGCTTACATGACTCAATGACATGTGGGAGAGTGTATTGTTTTCACACAATGCCAGATCTACATATGCTTGCTTTCCAAGGTTTATAATCCATTAACATGTTTGCGCACTCAATAACCTGAAGAAATGTTAATGCCAGGTAAATACTCAGGAGTCTGTGATGTTATAATCCAATAAACACAAGGACAAAATTAGAGAGGTGTCCTGGACACTGAGAAGATAAAAGCCCTTTTTAATTTAGATGTTTATGTTTACCTTATATTTAATATTATAGTGGCCATAGCGCAACATAAAGGACTAAACATGCAAGAGATTTAAGGAGAGCAGTGATATTTGAGATTAGTATCTATTACTTTTGTTTCATTTTCAGAAAATTGATAAGTTGCAAATGTAAAATATCAATATTTTTGAATTGAGTCTCCATTGCAGATGTTGACTTGATATTGAGTAGGCAACATTTGCAGTAACATGGATATGGGAGAAGTAAATAGCTTTCCATAAATATATATACATTCCAGGTTATTTCTTTCTATTTTTTCTGGATACATTTCAAGTTACCCTGTTTAGAAGGGGCAGTCACTATTTTGAGCCAAATTCCTCTGTCCCTCTTTTCTATTCGAATGCTACCCTTTTTCTCGGAGCTCTATTGTTTTTGTGTCTGAGTGTATATCAGAGTCTTGCAGCAATAATACTCATTGTAATGTGTCTTTAAACTACAATAAATGTGTTTAGAAAGCAGTCTGTGTAAATAAGATGCATTGTTCCTGTTCTAAATCACATTTTAGTTTTAAAAATTGTTATCAGAAAGTCACTTACAATAACTCGGAGCAGCCCTAGTACAGGTCACACCACCACTCACACCAGTGAAATTAAAGTTTCCCTATTTGCCAATCCTTCTGCAATGTTGGGTGGTATGTATATAACACAGAAAAAGCTAAACTTTTCAAAATGACCCTTACCCTTACCTAGTTTAGGCAATCAGCCATACTAAGGTCATACACATCAGTGTTGCTTACTTTGATTTCGATAAATAGACTATGCACAAAATCAGAAATAGGAATTTGACAGGTCTTAATAGTACCAAGTACATATATTTCTCACATGCTGTTCTAGGAGAACGGTTAATCTAACAAGAGATTGCACGGAGTCAAGATAAAATGGAAACAGGAAACAGGAGGGTTTTTTTTATCAGCATTGCATAAATGTTTAATGTACAAGAACAGTTAAATCCAACATGTTGATACCATACTTCACAATCATCTCTTATTTTATCAGACAGACTCTATTTAGAACTATTAAGCTGTTAAGATTTCAATAGCGATAATCAGGAATCAGAGATGCCCTGGCCCCTGGTACAGTGGTGGAACCAAAGCAGAGTGTAAGAATGTTTTGGGGGGGGGGGGCATATTCCAAGGATGGAAAAAAAGGTAGCTCCCCATCTGTCATACAATTCTCACAGTGCTTTGCATGCATGTTTTTGTACGGAGTACGCCGGAGTGTTTGTGTAGTATTGTGTTTGTGTGTTTTTATGTACTGTTGCCACTTAAAAGCATTTGTATACTTGTGTGCCTGTATATAGTGCTGATGTTTACATGCAGGGTTGCATTTGTGGGTAGTGTTGGAGTTTGAATGCTCAGATGTATACACATATAGATATACACTGCCCACTCCACACTGATACACATACACACATACACAGGCACACATCTGAATACACAGACACATAGATACAAACACTAACACACATACATGCACACACACAGACACACACAAACACATATACAGAAACACAGACACACATATACACAATGACACAGATACAGATAAATTAACAAATACACCAATTCTGCTGTTGCCCGGGTAGTATAAACATTGTATCAGACTTTTGCAGTTGCAGGGCTCAGGTGTCTAAACAGGTTCCATTTAAAGGACCCCTCTAGTTAACCATCTCATTATAGTGGTCTGGGAGCTGTGGTCCTGTCATTTTACTCTGCAATGTAAAACATTGCAGTTTTCCCACCTTGAGAGATATTAGTGCATGCATTTTCTATAAAACATATTGGTGTATATATTCTAAGCACAATTTTATTTATAATTTGTTATTTTCATGATATATACATAGCTATTAATAACATGCATGTCCATAATAGATTCATAAATTACATATATAAATATATGTATTGCTCAGCTTTGTGGAATATTTAGGTTTTTTTTTAAATAAAGGATACTAATAAAAAGAACTTGCAGTGATTACAAATAATCCACAAGATTTAAATGATTTACTTATCAAATCGGGAATTGTTGAGAATTGGCAAAGGATTAAAATTTTAGGACAAAATAGCTGAAGTGGAAAAATTCTCCAACTTTAATTTTTAAAATCGACAACATTAAAGTCTGACCCAATAATTGCAGTGTCTTGTCTATTCTCAACAATTTCTGGTTTAGTGAATATGGTTTGGCATCTTATTGAATATTTTATACACTCACATACGGATATAAGGATAAGTGTTACCGGACAAATAGAGGTAATGTGGCACATGATCAATCAACAAATCAGAAAATAATGACACTTGAACAAAACTTCTAAATCTATTAGTTAAATATAATCACTAGGATCCCATATACAAAACCATTTTGTTTATTAATATTGTAGTAAATATCCATAAAGGTTGTCTGTATATCTAGAAATGTTTTGGAAAATAAGTATTGAAGGGACAACATTAATATTACTACTGCCTGCCTTTAAGTCACTTCCTTAAATAAAGCTTCCGATGTCCATACTGCCATTCCAAATTTCACAAATGGAATTAGAAAAAAGTTTTCACTTTGGTTATATAGACCTAAAAATTGCAGGAACGCCATAGTTCCTAGTTCACAGCCTAAACCCCATATGGCATTTCAGGCTCATAGATAACCTGGAATTGTAAGTAATGTGGTAGAGCATTCAATATTGAGCTCTCATGGGGACACTTACCTGTAGTTGTGATACTCAGCACCAACAAAGCAGCCAAAACCGTATAGATAGACATGTTTCTGGAGCTTCGTCGTAAACAGTATGTAGTGTTGTAGAACCTTATCCTATAATATAGGGCTGGAGCAACACCCCCACCAAATAGACTTTTAATCCAAAGGATAAACAGGAAGAATGAAAACAATAGGGGTTAAGTGCTGAGATGGGTGAGATGAAACCAGCACAGTTCATTTTAAGGGCAGTAGAAAATATCACAGGGCGGGTAAAAGAATATGGAGTGTTCAAGAATTTTATAGTGGATATAAAATATATATATTATTATTATTAGAATGTCTTTATTATGTACATGTATAGAGTATGAAAAGTCATTTTTTTCCACTTTGCGGATGTAGCTCTGACATTTCTCATCCTCTCTACTAAAAACTGTAAATGTTAATAGTACATAACCAGCTGCTACCAAGCAATGATTCTGCCTTGAGTGTGTATCTTCATTAACATTTGCAATCATACAATAAAGCGAGGATCTGCATCTTGATTAAGCGGTAACAGTATATATAAATACAGTTTGATATTGCATTATGCTGGCAGACATTAATAATCAAATGAGGTAGTGAGGTTCAAGGTTCAAACACAAACACTGCACATAAGTATACCACAATATTCCAATGGTAGTAGTACATACAAACATACCCTTACATGCACACATGCTTACATTCAAACACACAAACACTGCTCACAAACACAACCCTGCAAGGATGGGCACATGGTAGATCCCCATCTGGTGTAGCAACTTTGGAGTTGTACGACAAATAGGGATCTAACTTTTAAACACTCTTCTCTACTTTAATTCCACCAATGATCCAGACACTGAGGTGAAGTGCTTACAGTACCACGCTTTCACATAATAGTCCACAATTTATAGTCTGATTAATACTTAGGAAGTGAAATGTTTGAGTATGAAATCTGTTCTGAAGGGGAATTTTTTAAATATATTTGTGAGGCTCTTGAAGTGCCCAATGCACAGCAATGCAGCGGGCCCAGCAGTGGAACTTAAAGGGTTACAGCACTATGAGACACAGGGCAAATCAAATTCACCTAAAAAATGCAATATGTGTATGAAAGTTTTATTATTATTATTTTTTTTAAATTTTACCACTATATTTAAATTGTATGCCAAATTGTATGAAACTAAAATGTCTTATGCAAAATAATGTTAAAAGGACACTATAGTTGCAAAAACAAATACAGCTTAATGTAGTTGTTCTGTTGAGTATGGTCAGTCCCTGCAGGCTTTTTAACCCCTTAGTGACAAGACCGTTTTTCAATGTTCTTACCGTTTTACATTTCTGCAGTGTTTGTGTATTGTGTAATTTTCCTCTTACTCATTTACTGTACTCACACATATTATATACAATTTTTTTGTGTTATTTTTCTGTACTTTAGGCGTGGATTCTCAGTTCCTGTTATGTGTTACTGAAAAAGAACACCCCAGATGTGTTTAGCAACCTCTCCTGAGTACAACAGTACTTCAATGTACAGGTTTTATGGGTTTTTGCAAACTTATGTGTTTGCACATTGAAATTTGCCAGATTGGTTTGCTGGGCCTATGTTGCCTTTGAGACCGTATAGCAGTCCAGGAATGAAAATTAATCCCATCATGGCATACTATCTGTAAAAGTAGACAACCCACAGTATTCAAAATGGGGTATGTCCAGTCTTTTGCAGTAGCCACTTGCCAGAAACACTGGCCAAAGTTAGCGTTTTGATTTTCTTTTTTTGCAGTTTCTTACACAAAAACTTAACTTTTACTGGTAAATGTCATCGTCTTGATAAGTTTCACTGTTTTAAACACTCATATCTGTGTTCAGCGAAGTCTCCCGAGTATAACAATACCCCCTATGTACAGGTTTTATGGTGTTTTGAAAAGTTACAGGGTCAATATAGGGCTTGCCCAATTCAGTTTGCCAGATTGGTTTGCTGGGTCTGTGTTGCCTTTTGAGACAATATGGTAGCCCAGAAATGTGAAATAACCCCATCATGGAATACCATTTTCAAATGTAGACAACCAAGAGTATTCAAAATGGGGTATGTCCAGTCTTTTGTAGTAGCCACTTAATCACAAACGCTGGCCAAAGTTAGCGTTTTTATTTGTTTTTTTATAAAAATTTTTTTCAATATATATATATATATATATATATATATATACACACACACACACACAAACACACTTATTTCCCATATATGTATAATATATTATAATTAAAGCATTTTATAATATATTATACAATGTAATGTATATATGATTTCATTATTTATGTATGATTTCATTATAAGTGTATTTTGAGAGATGTGTACATCTCAAAGTACACTTAAAATGAAATCATATATATGCATAATATATTATAAAATGCTTTAATTATTTTAAAATATATTATACATATATAATACAGACACTCCTCACTTACCGACCCGGTCATAGATCGAATCGGTCGGTAAGTGAGGAGTCAAGGGATTCCCTGCTCTCCCCCTGAAGAGCCGCCCAAACCAGCGAAACGCGCATCGGAGCTCACCAATAGTCTCAGACAGTCATGTGTAAATTAGTACCCTCTCATGATTTTTAGAGAATTGACAGGAAGGATTTATTCTCACACGATTTGGCGATCCTTGCCCTGGAAGGCACAGATCAGGGATCTATCTGATTCAGACCCATAAGTGCAGCACCCTCTAGACGGCAACAACTTACATAGTACCTTATACGAACAGTTTGACTACCATAAGGCTAAAGTTGCTCTGCCATCTGGAGGCTTATGCTATACAGTTTTTTGCTATCGGGGCAGCACACTTGTGAGCACCACGGTACCTAGATAGTTAGTTTTGACTCAAAGCTCAGGCATTTGCTCAGACTGTATTGTACTGTACTATATCAATATCTGTGCAATTATAGGAGGCTAACATTTTTTTGGGTCTCCCCCAGCAGTGACATAGTATGATATATACATCTATTGCCCACAATAGTTTAACTCACTAGTGGGTGCTTTATGTGTGCTTCATGTGTGCTAAACCTGCATGGGACATAGTCTCTATTCTCTGTCAGCATTAGTAACATTCCATCATTGTGCAATTAGAGGAGATTATTAATTGATCGTTCTCCTCCAGCAGTGAATCAGTAGACCATTTAAAATCTTTATTTAGGAGCCCTTGTAGGCACAGATCAGGGATTGTGTTTGATTTAGCTGCATGAGGAATACAGTCTCTAGTCTCTGTTAGCATTAGCAACATTCCATCATTGTGCAATTGGTGGAGATTATTACTTGATCGTTCTCCCCCAGCAGCGATAAAGCAGGCTGCATGAGACATACATTTACAAGTCTCTGCGAGCAGCAGTAAGTGCAGCAGCAAGAATCATTTGTTGAACCCTATACATGTCTTCAGGGCTGTCTTTAATATTGATTGGACCCTGGGCAAACATTTGCTTGGGCCCCCTGGGCCCTGTCGTCCCCTCCTCCCAGGCATGCAATCAAGCCCCCCACCCCAACGCAGAGGCGGACGTAAAGTAGAGAGGGCTCTGGTGCATGAATTATTTTGGGCAAGAGGGGGCAAAAGGTAGATCCCCATCTGTCGTGAAACTCCAACAATGCTTTGACAACTGGGGCTCTACCATTTTCCCATGCATGCAGGGGTGAATTAAGCACTGAGCAGTATTTGTGTGTTTGAGTGTAAGCATGTTTTTGTATGGAGTATGTTTGTGTGAATGGAGGGGTGTGTTTGTATGTGGAGATGGCATTTGAATGCAAGCCTGCATTTATGTGTAGTGTTGGTTTTTGAATGCACTGGTGTGTTTATATATAATTTTGTTTAAAAAAGAGGTGTGTTTATATGTAGTGTTGAAATGTGAATGCAGATGTATATTTGCGTTTGAATGCTGAGATGTATGCACATATACACATGCACTGCCACAAACACACACACACACTTCGATACACATAAACACACAGAAAGACACTGAAACACTTGCAGATACACAGATATACACAATCATACAGATGCAGCTATACAGACACATTTATATACACAGACACACAACCTGACACACATGCAGACACACAGATGCACACACTGACAACATACAGATACACAGACACCAGATACATAATCTGACAAATGCAGATACAAACACTGAGACACATGCAGATACAGACATAAAATGATACACCTGCAGATACACACATTGGCTACATACAGATACACAGATATACACACTGGCACACAGATACATGCACAGATATAAACACAGACAGATACATACTGACAACATACAGATACACACAGATATACTGACACACACAGACACACTGTGTCAGACATACTGACACTGTGTCAGACATACTGACACACACAGACATACAAACTGACATACACACTGACACACACAGACATACTGACACACAGACAGACATACTTGCACACACACACAGACAGACACTCTTCAGTTTCCTACCTTTGCAAGAGGCTACCTTCCCTGGGGTCCACCGTGCTGGCTGGGGTGGTTGGGAGTTGGGGGTCTGGCTCTCCTTGTCTTTGAGGTGGGAGGAAGTGATTTGTGGTCGTCGCTTCCTCCCATGCAGCCATTAAGCATGGGGCCTGGTCACACTATTACAGGGCCACGGCACCGACCTGACCCTAAAGCATGCTAAGTGTATTGGCAACCCGGTGGGCCCCCTTAGTGTGGGGGCCCCGGTGCAGCTGCAATACCAGCACCGCGGGCCCATTAGGGAAATAATTTGTTTACTTTTTTTTCATGCGGGGCCACGGGGCTGCTGCTTTAGCCCCCCCAGGAGTAACTGTAACTAGGGGAAGTGCATGATGACGCTAAATGCTCCTCATGAGGAGATGCTGTTTGGCTAGGGTGGCATTTGGCCCCGGCACCACCGTGCTTCCATGGCTGAGATCAACAGAATTGAGGATCTCAGCCAATCCAATGCTTTCCTATGGGTATGTCCAGTCTTTTTTAGTAGCCACTTAGTAATCACAAACTCTGTCCAAAGTTACCATTCATATTTGCTTTTTGCATTTTTCACCAAAAAATTGCCCTTTCACCAGTGATATCATCAGCTTTATACATGTTATTGCTCTAAACACTCATACTCATGAAACATCGCTGAACACAAAT